CTAACATCAAACTGGTTGAACCTAAATAAATCTAGTGAAAAAGAAAGATAATGAACTGAATTATCACAAGCAGTCTTAAGCAAAACCGTACACAGGCTCTGATTTAATCTATAAATAAAGTAATGCTGGACTATGAACTATTAGTCAACTGGTGAAACTGAAGGCATGTGGCCCAAACCTCCCTCTTCCGTACTCTGCTGTGAGAGTTTAAACGAACTTTGAAATTTTACTAATCCACTTTTTAGTTTACCAAATATATACATATAAAGAATGATATATTACATTTCTAATATTTTGAAAGTTGTTTTTGTCTCACTCTGCTACGGTGGGGATTACTCCCCAAGTTTGAAGAGGTCCCATTTGTCCTCACCAATATGGTGTCCTATGTTTATGGCCCTACAGAAGCATAAAATAATTTAAAATCTTACATATCTGTATTAGGGAATGCATGAGAGTAGGGGCATAGCAGTACCCCAGGGGTCTCCAAACTCTTCGAGCTCTATATTGATGCCTGGCCTATATAAAACAATTAAAATTGTTTAGATTTTTGCTACTTTCCGTTACATTCTTGTCAGAAGTTAGATAGATATTCATTTTCAAAAAAAATTAGTTTCATCAGTATATCATTTATCTATACTACCACTCTTATTTCCAGCTAGTCGTTTTTAGTGCAGATTTATGTTTCTTTGATTAATATTTGGGTATAATTGATTTGTTGTTTCTAGTAATATAAAATGGATGAACATGAACTATGAAATAATTTTATTTATTAATCCACTTACTTCATTTATTTATTAATCGCATGCTTCATTTATTACGGAATAATATTTCTATAATTTTCACCTTTAATTCGTTATCTTGTTATTAGTAACACAATATTCATCTATATTGTATTGGGTTGTCCGGAAAATAATGCAGGATATTGGTTTACAAAAAAAAAAAAGAAAACTTACAACTGAATTGTTTCATTTAATCAAAATAGTCTCCACCACATCAATATATCCCTCGGAATAGAATTTCCCATCTTTAGAATCGATAAACTCCAAAAATTCATTTTCTGATTCCCTTTGTCCATTAAAATTTTTGTCACGTAAGTATTGGTCCAGGTGTCTAAACAAATGATAATCCGTAGGCGAGAGGTCCGGAGAGTAGGGTGGATGTGGCAGAATTTCATATACAAGCTCCAACAGTTTTGTGACGCCCCATGTGAGACATGTGGCCGAGCGTTGTCATGCAACAAAATGGGCCCCTTCCGATTCTGTCATATTGTCGATGACCAAAGATGGCTTCATTGTTAACAATTTCTGATGCATTTCATTAATTTGGTTACAATATGATTCAATATTGATGGTTTCTTCAGGATTTAAGAAGCTGTAGTGTATCAAATCAAATGAAGTGCACCGAACAGTAACCATCACCTTTTTTTGATGAGTTCAGGGCTTTGGAAAATGTTCAGATGCTTCTCCTTCGTCAAGCCACTGTACAGAACGCCTAATGTTATCGTAAAGTATCTACTTTTCATCACAATTCCGGAAAGAAAAGGGTTGTTTTTGTTTCGGCAAAGAAGTGTAGCACCAACTTCATGACGCTGGTTTCTTTGGCGGTCGTTTAATGTGTGTGGGATCCAACTTTCGAGCTTTTTTAATCACCTTGAGGAAGCCATCAACGGTGAATTTGCTAAGGTTAAGTTTCCCTGCAAGTTCTGGAACCGTTGTTCTGGAGTATTCGTCACCAAATCCCACATAACATCGTCATCAAGAGAGAAGTCCATCCATGACCTTCTTTGTCTTCAAGGCTGAATTCACTCTCCCGAAATTTTTTGAACCACCGTTGAACAGTGCACTCAGCTGCTCTCGCCCCAGACTTGATTGATGTTTCTAACCGTCTGGGCTCCATTCAAGCCGAGTTTAAACTCGCAAAATTATAGGAAAATCATGTGCCGGTATCTTAGTAAAGACTGAATTATTATTAAGCAGCAAAATGCGACAGAGATAAACAAACATTATCATTTTGAAACATTACCATTAAACATAAACAGTTTGTTATATTGAGGAGTATCTTAAAGAAAACTCAAAATACTGCATTATTTTCCTGACAACCGAATATTACTAATAATAAAGAACCAATTATAGGAAGTACATAAAATTAAAGATAATTTAGTGAGAAAAAATTTGAGAATCATCATTTAACCATTGGCTAACTATTTCAATGAGATTAATTCTTACAACTTATCACACAATAGTTTGCTTAACTCATTAGAACCATTTTTAAGAAATTTGTTATAATGTGAAATATCTATAATAGTCAGTTTTGAAAAAGCTGCTATACATCTCAGATATATACCTACCTTAAATAGGTAATTTCAATGTTGTATAACTTTCCACTGAAAACTCAGATTCACAGGATTTTTTAAAAACTATGCTGCTAGATGAACCAAAACAAAAATGTATTCATGTTTGAATTTTAACAATCAATTATAAAAAGTTCTAAATTATTTGTAACATTTATCATAAAAAGAATTTTCAAACAAAACAAACAAGTAATGATCGGATGGGGCAAGGTCTGGGGAGTATCAAGGAAGAGGTTGAGAGTCCCAATCAAACTGTAAGAGTTTCTGTCTTATGGCCAATGCTGCATGTTAAGTTGCCCATAAGAAGCTCTTTCAGTTTGATTGGGACTTTCTACCTCATCCTCTGTACTCCCCAGACATTTTCCCATCCGATTGTTACTTGTTTCCTTTGTTAAAAAATTCTCTCTGTGTAATGTCAAAAATCCAAAAGCAAAATAAAAACGCATCTCGGTGAATATTTTGCAAGTAAGTCTCAACAATAATGGAAACAGGATATAAGAGGCTTCCTGAAACATGGAAGAAGGTAATAGAGAAGAACTGTTCATATTAACACACAGTAAATCAACCTTAAACAACAAATACAACAAAAAAGGAAAGAATTTATAGGACACCCTAATACATAAATTAAATATGTTATTTAATTTTTTTACAACTTATTGCATTTGAGCTATTTATTTGAGACTTGGTTATTTGAACTGAGGGGACCTCAAAATGTTTCCATTAAAAACTGGAATATGAAATTTCCATAATTGCAATACTTCCCGTTACTATACATTTCTACTTAATATATATTGGTCTAAATGGTCATTTTTATGTCCTTAACTATACCATTTCGCATCATGATCTTCTAAAATTACATACTTGTAAATGCACAGAAAATGCAAAAGAGGCAGTTATATGTAATCAAAAGGTTATGAAATATAAATTGGAAATTGGTGAGATTAACACTAACAAGGGGAGGTTACGGATGTGGGGTCACCGATTTCAATGAATCTTTTTTTGATGATACTAGGTCAAAAAATATTAGACCCATGTCTGAGGGTTCTCGCCAATATACAGGATTACAACGTTTGGGAAGTTTTTATTCATTTAAACAATGTGAAATATCAAAGTCATCGATATAGTTTTGAAGAGAAATAATTTAGCTTTCCAACAGTTGTACTAATGTCAACTTAAGGGAAAACCTGAGGAATTATGAATATTTTAGTAAACGGCATGAAAATAAATCCTCCCATAGAATGCCGTCCAAAAATTTATATTTTTTTATTTAAAAACAAACTCATATTTAAGAGTTTTAGTGAACCCTAAAAATGAATCTGAGAAGGTTTTTCATGACAAAAATTTACTTGGCATACTTTACTGGAAGTGTCGATGAATTTTTGTAATTTATTATATATTAGAATTCGTTTAATACAAAAAGCAATATGTTTTCCGGTACTTTTTGTCCAAGGGGCCGCTCCTGACTGCTATCTACCAATGTTTATACCCTGAACAATGATAACTCCCATAACGCAGTGATAAGCCTTCTCCTACTTCATATCTTCGTATTATTGTATTCAATTCGTATTATTGAAAGTGCTAACAGATAAAAAAACAAATGTAATTACAAAAAAAATACTTTTATTTGACGACACATATATTAATGAAATAATAAAAAAACACTTTAAGAAGATATGTACATATAAAACATATCTTGGTAAACTTCATTCGATGACCTCGTTCACACAATTTCACGTCGGCAAGTACCCCAACATTTTGAAAATACTGAATTGCCTGTTCTTCTGAAGACGGTAAATCCCATATTCTAAGAAGATCCATAATATGACGAAAATAAACGGGAAAAAAATGAAAAATAAACACAAAGGGGCCACGAACTAAAAAAAAAATTTAAATAAACACAAACAGGCCAAAAACTAAAAATAATGAAAAATAAACACAAACGGGCCAAAAGTAAACAATTTAATAAGTGAATGTAATGAGAGAATAACTGAAAACTAAACAATGCAATAACTCAAAAGTTTGGCGGGATAAGAAGAGGGAGGTTATGTGATGTGATGTTAGATAAGATAGATAAGAAGAGAGGTTTCAAAACGGACCTCTACACACAAAGTACCTGTTTTCCTTATTTTACACAAAAATATAAATCGATTGATATATATAATAACTTATAAATTCATTCAGAGCAAAGTCAGAAAACAATAAGTAAAAAACATAATAAAATTTTACAAAATATTTTTTTTATCAGCTCAAAGGGCAAGAAATTGGCAAGAACCCTAAGTATCCTCCTCTTGTAAGTTATTTTCCACACAATAAGTTATCAAATATTTAAATGAGCATTTGAATATAAAAATTACTAAAATTACTATACAAGAATAAAATCATTGTATTAAGCATTGTTAGAATTAATGATTATGGTCTCAACCTTGAAAATCTCACAGTAAAAAATTACGCTATTACATATAAAAATCACTTCACTATAAGTCATATTTAGATTTATTTGAAATCACATTATTATTGAATAAACTTAAGATTAATTCACCTTGTTTTTTTGTTTTTTTTTTTGTTTTTTTTATTCAAGAATTATATTTTTATTTTAAACACTTATTAAATATATTTTATTAATAATTAATAAGTAACCAGTTTCACACAGAACATGGGTTTAACACACACAAAAATATATATAAATACATATATATCAAAACATGGTAATTTGTAATTATTTTAATCAACAAAATATATTAATTTGCAAATATATTACACATCTTTATAACATTTATAAGATCATACATATAAAATAAAACTAACCACATAAAAAATAAATATATGATTATATAACAGCCATTTTTCATTTTTTATAGTTGTAAAATCCTTCTCCTGATTTGACACCTAATTTTCCTTGTGCAACTAATTTATTGAGTGTTTCGATGGGATCAAATATCTCAACATTAGGATAAATCTGATGCCAACCTGTAACAAGATGTACGAGATTAACATACATAAATATATATGCATAAGGTCAAAATTCACAAAAAAAAATCTTAAAAATTCAGCTCCATCAAAAATGTACTTAGTGATTTTTTGGAATAAAGCAATGATAGATATATATTTATTACAAAAATGAATATATAAATTAAAAGGTACATATTTATGCCAGAATCATAAAATTATCTTCATTTTTTCATTTATTCGGGAACTTGAAAATTTTTGTTAATTCATTGTTTTTTCACCACACTTTTTGAATGATGAAAAATTTAATTTCAACGCGTTTAAAAATATGACCAAACTAAAGAATGAAGCTTAAAAGGGTCATTTTATACATCTGGGGATAGGTGAGTTCAAAATGAGTTGTTAATTTGAACATAATTAATGGGCCCAATAAGATATATATACATATTAAAGAAATATTTCAAATAACGTCCGATTGAAAAGAACATTCTTTCTAAGATCAACTTTCAATAAGATAATGAACCTAAATAAACTGTGTTAAAACTCAGAAATGGCTTTTATATGATACTATACCAGAGCATGAAAACTTCTGCCCGATTTCCCAACATAATCCTATAAGATCCTAAGTACCTCTGAGATGAAATTAATTATTGTTAAAGAAAACGACAGAAAAGGGACAGAGAAGAATTTTAAAAAATATTTATGAAAGAATAAAGAAAAAAAATGGATTGATTACAGCAAAAATGATAAGATCCATAAAAGCTTATTATTCATAAGGAATAAAAGAGGACCAACAAGATCATGTAATATTAATTATAAATAATTATAAGAAAAAATTATATTATTTACTTATTAACTATAGTTGAATAAAGTATTAAATAATTGAAGTATTTTATAAATGAAAACCGAATATTCCCTCTGTTACTTTCAAGAAGGGAGAGGAAAGTTTCAAGGGTTTATGGATCGGTACCAACTGTTAATAACACCACTGGACTGATACTGCTCCACAGGAGAGCTGGATGGCAGGACAACACGTAGCACCACAGGTTATCGAGAGCCTATGAAGTAAGGAGAAAGATAGGCGAGCCAAGAAGTAGCCTGACAAAATGAAGCGGCACATAAACATTCCACTTCATGAGGTAATTCCTAACTGTAGTCTCATATTAGTGGGAAATAGGTGCAGGGAGGTGGTTATATTGGATACAAATCCAACACAAAGATAGGTACGCGCTATCCACATTTTTTTTTTATGATTAATTCCTATTCTCCTAAAAAAATATTTTTAAAAATAGCAAGACTTGGTTATTAGTCCCTGAATTCTTTCATACCATCAAGAATGTACTTTGTAGTATCTAAGCCAACATAATCTGCAAGTTCAAATGGTCCCATGGGATGTCCCGCACCAAGCTTCATGGCAATGTCAATGTCCCTAGCACTCGCAACACCTGATCAACAAATATTAATTAAAACATACATAATGATATAAAATGAATTTAAAAAAAAAAAAAGGTTTTCTATTAGATATTTTGCACATCTGATTTTATGATATTTTGCATATTTCACAACTGACATGTTTTATCAACCTAATTGTGGGATCAGTATGAAAGTAGCTCAATCCATTTTAAAAAGTTTTGAAGGAAATACCAAAAACATATTATTTTACCACATTCGGCCAAGGTAATCTCATGAATTTGAACCTATTTTTGCACTGAATTCATGTACTTTTGTTAATATGACTTTGTAAGGTGAAAAGGTCTATTTAGAACATTCTGAAAAATAAAATAAAAACATTTTGCAAAGAAGTGGATTGAGCTGGTTTTGTAACTAATGACCTCAATTGTTCTAATAAAAATCATGAGTAAGGGTATCCAGCTGAAGAAAACTTTTTATTTTATAATTATAACTAATGAGATATAATCTAAACAATTTATCAAAACAGAATTAGAAATGCGTTTTTTTGATCAATTAAGCATTTCTAAAAATATTATAGTTGATATAAATACACACTGCAATACTGCAATCAAGAATATGACAAAGCTATAACATTATAGTTGAATATGATCTCGTTAAGAAAACAAAAGTAACCAATCACTAATTCTGTCAAATCAATCAACAATAGGATTGAAAAACTATTTTCTATATTATATCAGAAATCACACTCATGAAATTGTTATTAGACGAAATGTCGACAATGATTTCAGCAGTTGTTTATATGTTACACAAGTAAAAAGGTATGAAGTAAAATAAAAAAATATACATAAAATGAATTGAAAATACCTCTCTCCAGCATCCTGATAGCTTCGCCAAGTTGTGGGACCAAAAGCCTGTTAACAACAAAACCAGGGGTATCTTTGCAAGTGATGCAGGTCTTGCCAATGGAACGGCCCCAAGCCATCAATTGTTTATATGTTTCGTCAGATGTTTCATCAGTGCGAACTACCTAATAACATTCCATGAAATAAAATGAGATATTATTAACACCATAACCGATAAGACTTGTCTTTACATTGTTCATATTACAGGATGATCAGTTAGAACACAATAAAATACACATATCACATCTTTGCTAAAAGAGTGCCCTGAATCATGTTACATATATTCTAAAAGTCAATTCTTGAAGTTAGAGTTATTTTGTGATTTATTGTTTATTTGTTCATTTAAAAGGAATCTACGATGGTGATATAAAATTTCAATTACAATGCTAAATTTTAATTTTTAATTTTTTTGTTGTTTTTTAAAACATCAAAATATGTTATTTTATCCATTTATCACCATGTATACAAAAACTAAAATTTGGCTAATTGCATTTGAGTACACTGGTTCATAAAGACATTAATAATTTATTTATGATTAATGACAACCACACTAATGACAATATAAAAATGGCTAACTACAAAGCGTGATTTGAAGAATAGTACATCTCCTAAACACAAGAAGCACTGCTTTTGCAAAGTCGAAAAACTCCAAACATGTTGCATCGATTTGGTCCTGTGACCTAACGAAACTTGTTAATACTGTCAAGTTTGTCAAGCTAAGTTAGTTCATCCAAGAAACTGGTCGAGAAACTTCACGAAATGCCAGACTGTGTATATATTTTTTGAATTCTGCTGCTATTTTAAGAGGAACTCTAGTCCCAGAATAAAATTATTTTTCATTTCATTAATGTTCAATCATATCTGAGAATGCTCACACCAAAAAGCTCACATTGCATAATCATACAAGTAAACTATTACATCTCAATGATAAACATAAGAATAAGCAGAAGTGCTACAGAAAGTAAAAACAATTTTTTTTTTATTCGTAATGCCTTCAGACTTATTTGACTTCCGCCATTAGTCTTCTAGCAGCTACAGGGCTGTTCTAGGTGAGATACAGATGTTATCATTTGGTTCTCTTATACAGATATTCAAGGAGCATGTGGTTTATAACCTTTTGCAGACTTCTCCCAATCTCTAATGAGGAGGACCAGGTGCTATGTTGTAAGGACATAGGAGTCGCTCACCTTCCTGCGAATCTCAGGGTGAGGACTTTACCGTTCTCATGCGGGAATTGAACGTGTGCCTTAGTAGTCTAAGCAATTGAGTAGGGACTACACTAATTTATTTTATTTTATTATTAATTATTTATATTTGTTATCTGTTTTTATTTTATTTTAAATCTCAAGAACAGGATGTAAACTCGTAGCCTAAAGTTTTTACAGGTACCTTATCTCACTCGACCACCAGGGCCCCAAAAAGTAAAAATTATAAATAAATAATGATGCTTTAAACTCACTTCTAATAGTTTCATTATAGGAACGGGATTGAAGAAATGCAATCCACCAAATCTATCTCTTCTATTAATTACCGTTCCAATATCAGTAACAGGTAAAGATGATGTGTTAGTAGCAAATATAGTGTGCTTTGGAGCAACCTGCAATAATGTATATCAATCATTAAGTACAAATTTACAATAAAGACAATAAAAAATTAAGGTATTAAACAAGTAATCTGTAATTGATATTAAATTTGAAATTAGAGTGCTACCAGTGGGTAGTTTCTCAACAAGTATTTTCATGTTTTTATTTTCTGTTATCACATGTACTTAATGTATCCTTTCAGAAAATTTGAAAATCTATAAATTGCAATAGCATAAATACCCACTGAATCAATTGTGGAGAAAAGTGTCTGCTTTGCATTCAATCTTTCTACAATCGCCTCTATCACCAAATCTGTCTTTTTTACTGAATCATGAAGATCAGATGAAAAAGTCAAATTATCTAAAGTAGACTTGACAGTTTGTTCTGCTTTGGCAGGATCATCCTAAACACAAAAGAATTATTAATATAATCTTATAACAACCAATTTATTCTAAAACAAAAATATATTTCTTGAACAAATTTTTATTAAATTGTATATGAAAACAGAATAAATAATTTAATTTCTTCATAAATAATCTGATGTATTTTCACAGTATTTCTATCTAATGACATTAACAGCCTTTTATTGGAGTATAATAGATTTTATCAGTTCTATCCTTTATCATACATTGGTAACTTCTTCTCACATTATCCTTTAAGTTAATTTTTATTAAATAAAGATTTAAAACAATCAAATTTCTATTGAAAGAATTGATTTTCCTACCTTGTGAAGTTTTTTGGCTACACGATGCAAACTATTTTCTATGTTTTTAGTAGCTTTTTGTAGGACATCTTTATTAACATCAACCAGTATAACTTTTTTCCCATGTTGTGCAGCAACCTATAAATTGTGTTTAGTAAAATCATAGATAAGTACAAAACAGAAAAAAACAATGAAAGAAAAACATGAAACATGGCTGCTACTGCTGCATGTACATTCGATATTAAAATCAATTATAAAAATAGGAATAAGGTTTAAAATATAACAAAAACACTTATATTAAATATATCAAATTGTACATTTGTCATTTGATATTCAAATTTAAATCAATTACTTAAAATTATTGCTATCAAAAAGTACCCACTTTTACAAAACATATTAACAAAAGGAAATAAAAACTTTAACCAGCAACATCACATTATTAAAATTGTACTGAAAAATACAAAAATATTCATATGCATGAAAAAATATAAAATATTTTAAATTGATGAAATAAAAGTTAAAAATAATGAATTTGCTTGTCAAAATGTATTTGCAACTGCAATTCATTTTTTTTTTTTCATTTTTTAACTAAATCTGAATTTAATATTATATAAAAAAATCTTTGGTATATGTAATAACTTCTAAAAATCGTGGTTTGGGATGGAAAGAATTTAATTAAATCTAGGATGATAAGTTTCCCATTCATGATGTTTGTTACCAAAAGATGTTTGAGGCAGTATAAAGTAATGATATGATGTTTTGATATTAGATCATGGGGCCATATAATCTCAGTTGTATTTATGTCTGGTGATTGAAAAAGAGTATGAGGCCAACTTGGCATATTTAATGTGAAACATTCCTTGTTTTCCATGAACTGGGGTTTCACATTGTTATCCTGATAAACAAACTGACTTATGATTCTGATATTTCCAGTACTATCATATAATTTATGGTACAAAATGTTCACTTAGCCTTCTCTATTTAAAATCTTCTCAGTAAACAAAAGATTTCCCTTCCCATGACATAAAACATATCCCTAAGAAGCTAAGAAGTTTTTTATATTTATGCATATGAATTTTTTTCAGTTTTCAGTATACTTTATAATTATGTGCATAAGGATAAAGTTTTTGTTTCCTACCGTCAACCAGCTCTACAAAACTAGTCGTGCAATAAAAAAACAGTGTAAATAATAAACTATTTACTTGAATTGAAAAGTAAACTCTTCTTGAAAATATTGAATAACCTTTTTATTTGAATTATAATATTAATAATCTTAAAATTATAAAATCACTTTTTAAAGAAGCCAAAATTAGTTAACAGATTTCTTCACAATTAATAAACTCTGGTTTTTAGAAAATTTAATATAATTCAAATATGACACTTTTATTAATATCAGGAGATGGAATAAAATAAATAAATAAAGTTAAAATGGAAATTTTAAATTTGGCAATTAAAAAAAAAATTATTTTTAAAGTGCTTTGGCAACATATCAACTGCAATGAAGCCCATCTAAAGTATGAGTACAACACCAGTTTAAATTTAAATCTGTATGTTTCTCTTATATATGATCAAAGTAAATAATTACTATAAAAGTTGAAAATTTACAAATACCTGAGCGATACCAGATCCCATAATACCAGCTCCAACTATAGTGACAACTTTAATTGAAGACATAGCAGTAGAACTAGTGGCTAAACCTCGAGAGAGAATTTTAAAAATAATAGCCATCCTAAAAACAAATTTAATTTCATTTAAACTTCTAACAATTAAATATGTTTGTCAATAAGAAAAATATATGTAGATATAAGTAATAGATTTAAGAAGTTCATATCCCTAAACATATCCTTAACAACACTAAAGGTAATAAATTTTACTTCCATAAGTTATCTTCAAGAAAGCTAATTGATGGATGTGTGAAGATAAGAGTTATCACTACCATACACCTTGCTATCAGTACAACTTATTAACTATCTATTTTTTAAGTGTTCTTTTTTAGATACTTAGATATTTAATTAAGATGCTATATATTAATACTTAAAAGTTAATAATATTTTTCAATTTTAATAACAATTTCATACGCAAAGATGACTGATAATAGGAACCTGTTGATATAAGTTATTAAAATGAGGGGAATGCCAAATAAATAATTATAGCAAACTTTTACAAGTGATATTAATAAAAAAATTAATATTCCAATCTAATACATAAGATTTTTCCTAAAACAAAAATTTTAATACCTCACCTGATGTTGGTAGCAGGTGAAGGTATAGTATAAGCTGTTTTTTATTTTTATTTACACTAAGGGAAGGAAAGCAATAAAGAAGGTAAAGGAGATTCAGAAAAAAAAACTTTCAACAAGCTAAGTAAACTTCAATGATAAAAGATAAAAACACCAAAGGTTAAGCTACAACCTCTACAGGAGTGGGGGGAAATGGAATCTACAATGTTGCCAGTTCTATCCCTCCTAAGTAAAATACTTAATATAAATAATTGTTTATGGGCCAATTTGCGGAATATATTTTCTAAAAAAATAAATAAACATAACAGAAAATAACTTAAACATTTATTGCTCTATCATAGAAGAATTAATTTCATTTACAATCCATAGCTAATTCGATATGCTTATCATTTAAATGAAATGCATGGTCTTTGATAGATTTAAATTTCAAGGTTTACTATTAAAATTCAAGTTGTATTAAATCTTATATAAAGAGTAGAACAAAGTGATTCACAACTTTTCTAAAATACTTTTTTTTTTCAATAAATTATAAGTATAAACATAAGCAGAAAATATTTCAGCAATAAAGTTCAATTTCTAAGAAAATTCAGAACAATTTGTCTGATGAAATTATTAATTAAATAATAGAATTCATGAAATTTATAAATTATAGAAAATTGCATTAAATTTCTTAAGAAAGGATGGGGAAATTAATAATCAATCTTTAGATTTATATAATTTTGAATTATAAAATATTTATAATTTCTAAATTATTGAAAATAAATTAAAACATATTTTATAAATTTATACACACAAATGTATCTAACCCAAAAATTCCTTTATCATATAAAACACAATTTGTCTGATGACATTATTAATCAAATAATGAAATTCAAGAAATTTATAAATTATAGAAAATTTCTTAAGAAAGGGTGGAGAAATTAATAATCAATCTTTAGATTTCTATAATTTTGAATTATAAAATATTTATAATTTCTAAATTATTGAAAATAAATCAAACCACATTTTATAAATTTATACATACAAATTTATCTAACCCAAAAATTCCTCTATCATATGAAACACATAATTTCAGTAAAGTAATTTACATATTTTCGAGATGATTCAGAAGCTATAATGATTGGAATCAGCTGTGCCCAGAAGATTTCATGATGCAAGTTGTGCCATCAAAATTTTTAAGGTGGGCACATTTCGACTTGGTTTTGCGTTTTTGAGGGGGAGTACATTTCGACGGAGCTATGAATTTTCGGAGTGAAAAGTTTGAAAAATGAAAAAACTGAGAACTAGGTGGACATAGGTACAGATCACAGCAAATATAATCGTATATGATCTACGAATTGTCTAATCTTACTTTTGTTTGCAATGCTTTTAAGAAGAGGAGAGAAATGAAATTTTTGGAGAGGGGGGGATGGTTCATGCACCATCAACCTTGGGAACCCTGATCGGAACCATTAGACAATAAAAAACAGGATGTCATGACATGTTTGAAATTTTTTATTGGATTGTCTTTGATTTAATGAATGGTCCTATTCATATAAATGCACAAAAGAAATTAAAACTTTTTTTTAACCGAGTCAAAGACTGCTAGTGGTCACAATTAAAGCAAAGTATTGTATAAAACTGTTTAATGAAAACACAATTAGCTCCACATATTAGGTTTTTTTCAGGATTACAAAGAACAAGAAACAACTATAAAAGTAATATTGAAGGCAGTTTATCGACTGTTCTACATTGTCATGGATGATAAATATTCAGGACACAGTCATTATAAAGTTTTAATTGGTGCCGACGCTTCAACCCAAACATGTGGGTCATCATCAGGCCGTCTTTCGAGCACTGAATAACTCCAGCAGTACTTGAATACCTTCAGTGCTCGAAACACGCCCTGATGATGACCGACATGTTTGGATTGAAACATCAGCACCAATAAAAACTTTATAATGACTGTGTCCAAAATATTTATCACCCATTATAAAAGTATTAAAAACAAAAGTATAGAAGTGGTATAATTAAAATAAAAGCATTGATAATATAAAAGATACTTAATATTATAATAGATTACTTCTGAATGGTCAGAATTTAATACTGAAAATAAACTTATAAATTATACATATATGTAATATAATAAATAAAAAGTTAAAAACAAAAAAGTAAGGCAAACATTTAAAAAGAAATATTTATAACACAAAAGACAAAGAGTTGACTAAATTTGAATGAAAGTTAAAAATATCTATTGTATATCTAACATAATGAGGAAACAAATGAAAACAACTAACCATAAGATGCGCTGTAAAGAGAATGTGTCTTTGAACAATGGTGATGACAGGGGAGATCAGAAAAAAAAAATTAATAATGAAGTACATATTCATTTATTTAAAAAAATAACTGAGTAGCTTTTGTGGGAAACCAATTAAACAACAAATTAAATCATCAAGGATCACTTTAAAAATGCAAGCTGCATTAGACATTATATAAGGGGTAAAATAGAATCATTTACAACTTTTCTAAAATATCTATTTTTCCAATAAATTGTAAACATAATTTATAAAAGTTTATCAATACATTAAAGTTTAATTTATAAGAAAATTCAACAAAAACTATTTGATGAAGTTATTTATTAAATAATAAAATTCAAGATATTAGAAAAAATGTATTATACTTCTTAAGAAAAAGTATGAAAATAAATCATGGATCTTTATGTATCTACAATTTCGAATTAACATTTTATTTTTAATTTCTAAATTGTTGGAAACAAATCAATGAAACAAAGTCTCATCCAAAGGAAGCCCATGGCAGGTAGATGGGAGTGCTCAGTGCACCTATGGTGGTACTAGGAAGTAGTGAATAAGACATTCCATGATCATGGCCACCATTCACCAGCTCAAGCTTCAGGGAATGAGCTTTGTGCTCTCTCCCAAAAATAATATATTGTTGTGGTCCGAGCTGCTATGGAAATATGATTGCGAAGTTTGGCCTTAGATCAAGGATTATAGTCATATGACTGAAGAATAGAAGCAGTGCTAAGTTAGGTGAGTTTTTTTGCTAGAAATCAGCTTGCAGTTCTGAATGATCACTCCGCTACCCTTACATTCTCCAGTGTAAGTGTGCAGATTTGGATTGATGTGATGGCATCGACAGTGCTGAAAAACCCCTTCATTGATTGACCTTTTGATCTGATTTTCAACCATCAAGTCATAGATTTTATGCTGGTGGACAATTCAGAAATTCCCGAAGGCACTGAGAAGGGTTATATAAAACATAGAAGAGATTGTAATGGTTTCCAGTCAACATTGGTGGAAAAATTAGAGCATAATAAATAGGACATGGAGCAGACAGATCATACTGATAATCTGGATTATAAAGATTCCTGGATCACTGATGTTAACTGTGATTCTACTCCACTGTAAAGTGAAAGCTTCACGTATCTTATGGTGGATGCCAGCCTTAAAAACCATGAAGGGAGAGCTCTACAATGCTCAGCAGCTGTACCAGAGATGCAGTTGCAACATGAGGCACACTGCACTTCGTGTTGAGTAGAAGTCCAAGACCAAGGTACATCAAAATGGGATGCGCATATAGAAGCAAAGGTCCTGGTCTATGAGTTCATCATTAAATAGTCCAGAAAGAATCCCTGGGTCATTCATCATCAGGTGGCCAAGAACAAGTTTTTTCCACAGCCCATGTTAGAGCCCTCAAACACGGGGAGGCCCAGGACACACACCTTGAGGAAGGACCACTTGACTTTCACTTACGAACGTTAGAGTAGATAGGTATCTTTGTATATAGGTAAGTCAAAGTGAAAACGATGGTATGTGTATAGTAATAACAATACCAATGATTGTGGGGGAAAATGTATCTTTTGGGAAAATTCCAAGTTTAATTGCAAATATTTATCACTAGTCACAAAAAATAACTTAATGTTAGTAAATATTGTATATTATTAGATTTATATTAGTAGATCCTCAAAATTTCTCATGAAAACATTTTTAAAAAATTATGAAGAAGTGATATAAAAATTTAAATTACAAATTAAAAAGTCAGGTACTCTTGGCTGTTTCTGTACAGCTTCCAACCCTTATATCTCCTTCAGATACCAATAATTTTCTTTATTCGTTATATTTTTTAAAAAAATTATATCAGTTCCTAATGTGAAATGGTTAATTATTTCAAATAAAATTAATTTAAGTTACTTAAGAGGAAGAAATTTTGGAAATTAAACATTTAAATACTGTTAGAGAACATCAATAAGAATGAGTCCTACATTTTATTAAAGACCGCTTAATTTCAGACTGATGTAATGAAGCGCCGTTTTTGAAAAAAATCGATGAAATAAAGTGGCACTTCCGGTTAGCCAGTTATGAAAAAAAAAAAAAAAAGCTGCTGTAATATCCAAGCAAACCACAAACAAACGATTTCAGTTGTGAAAAACTTTTCATTTTTGAGCTAGATTGTTCATATACAAATATATATATATACTCACACAGACCAATTTACAGAACTTGGTTATTTAGACTCGGGAGACCTCAAAACATGTATTTCCATTGAAAACTCGGATTAAAAAATGTTGACGATCGCAATACTTTTTCTTAATATATATTACAAATATAGGTGAGTGAAAGTAAAAAAAACTGTTAGTGCTATTGGGCAACAGAGACATATTCAGGGTAGTAAAAAGTTTTTTCAGCTCAAATTCCATAATTTACTTATGGAATAGTTGCCCTTTTTGTAGCTACAGCCTCAATTTAAGATTATAAGTTATCAATTATGTTACAAGTTTATAAAACTAACCTGTATTACAAATTTACTTGAACAACAAATTTTAGCTGATATCATTGCTTCAAAGTCCAAATCCATATAACTAATGAACTCAAAAGAATATTATAGACATCAGGTGAAAGTTAAAAGTTATTCCAATCATCTCCGAGGAAGTAAGAAAAGTTTGTCTCACAATTCCTGTAAATTTCAGTAGTATTATAGAACTTATTATTAATTTAAAAGTTATATTTTTATTAAACATATAACTTGGTCATAATTTCAGTAGAATTTGTACTTACCTTTTAAAAGCTACTATTATATTTTTCTTGGTATGATGCTCATTTTCTCAAATCAAAGGAGAAGAATGAAACCTTACATCGATCAGTACATAAAATTATACTCGTGTCATTCTTAATTCTAAATTTATACACATTTCATAAGGGATTAGGAAATATAATTGTGAAATGAATAGAAACTTTATTAAAAAAATAAGATATATTAACTTTTAATTAACAAATATTAAAATTATAACAAAATTTATTTACATTATTTTGTAGTATTGTATTTATAAAAACCCTCGCCACTTTTACGGCCTAATTTTCCTTCTGAAACAAGTTTATTCAAAGTTTCGACTGGTTTAAAAAGTTCTACGTCAGGGAATTTTTCATGCCAACCTATAAAAACAACATTATTGAAAAAATATATATATATAAAATATATATTTAATACATTTTAATTGAAGCACTTATACTTGTGTAGTTTAGAATTCATTTTTATTTTATAGGTAACCATAAATCACTTTAATTCTTTTTTTTTTTTCTTTAACTTTTTTCCAATTTAATTAAAATATATATTCTATAATGAAAAAAAATTAAATATTAATTAATGAATATTATTTTTAAATAATATAATGCAACATATTTTTTTTAATTTTGACTGATTATTAAATGATTTAATTTTAGAATAAAGGAAATATTTTAACATAATCAGTATTTTTGCATAATAATTTTTTTGCATCATCATCATAAACCTCAGGGCCTATTGAATTTTTCAGGATATGTTATGACCATTAATTATTGTTGTAAATTAATTATTTTTCCTGAGACAGGTCTTTTTGAAATATGCTCTAATAAATATAATTTTAATTCCATTTACATAATATTAAACTTTTGGTTTAAATTTGAACCCTGATGGTTTAAATAGAAATATCCTGTTCTGTCAATTACCAGAGATAACTCTTTTTCTTGCTTAGCCAATTTTTTAGTTTGTACTGAATGTAGTTTGTACATTTGCGTAGATCTGATCCATTATTATTTTTTTTAAATTATGAAATTTTGAATCTTCGAGAAACAGATCATTTTCTAAGGATCTTAAGAAAAATATTAATAATAAATTACCATCCAATATATATTTTGTAGTGTCTAAGCCTGTGTAGTCCGCTAGTTCAAATGGACCCATGGGATGCCCAGCACCTAATTTCATCGCAATATCAATGTCCCTAGATGTTGCCACTCCTGTTGAAATAAGTAACAGTAAAATTTTTAATCATAACATCTTACTCATATCTTTTAAAGAAATTTATAAAGCTGTTGATTTTATGAAATATGAGTTTTGGTAGTAATATTTATTACATAATGAAAATAAATTTATTGTTTATACTAGAAATTATTTGATTAATTATTAATAACAAGCATGGTATTCCCATTATACATGTAATAATTATTCAAAAATTTATTAATTAGTATACACAACATAAATCACCCTACTAGTAACCTGTTTTAAAGATCATACTGTTTTAAGATGTTTAAAATTATAAATGCCTATTAAGTATTTATTTTCATTTGTACTCTTCGTCCCTTTCACACTGAAGATGCAATATGCAAATGATGCATGTTTCCTGGATACAGGATGCATGTGCGTCTTGCATCTTGATAAAAGAGCTGTCACACCAAGGATGCAGCTGAGTTTTACATCTTCTGTTTATATCCATTATCTCTAGTTTAGTACGTGAGTTTAAAAGATGAAGAATCAATCATCCGACTCTTCAGATGATGAAATTCTAATTTTACTAGTATTTTTTAAATAGTAATTGATATTGAAATAAGTATATTTTTTTTGTGGCCCAAATAAATTTTTAGTATATAGTTCTCTTATCTGTTGTTTCGAATTTTTTTGTACCAGGGCCTTCCATGATTTGTCTTGTTCATCCCTATTTGAGTACTCTTTACTTGTAATATCGTACATTGCAGGATAGTCTTGAACTGCTTTCACAAAGGTCACATTGAAATTCTCTGTCGAATAACATAGTTAAACTATGTTAAAGTTTTGTACTTGTAACACAAACACAATGCCTAATTGCAATATGAAATAAAATTGAAAAGTAACTGTGAGAGTCGGACAAGTCACTAGATTCTATGAGCTTGAGGTTCTTAGTAAATATTAATCAACTTGCAGGCCTTATTAATGGATGAGGTAGGACCTGGAAATGTTGATCAAACAAATGAACGATAAAGTTCAAAATATGATTAACCGTATTTATAATTTAATTACTTTTTTTTACTAATGATTTATTGCAATTTTTGTTGCAATTTTGTCATACAATTCCATAGTAATAATAAGAAAAATAGGTAAAAAACGTATGGAGCAATAGTTGAAAATCATAGCAATTGATAAATAAAAAACCTATAGTTAAAAATAAATTTAACAATAGATAACAAAAGAAAACAATAGTTTAAAATAAAAAAACAAGTAAGACATCAATCATAAGAGCTTAGAGAAAATTGAGAAGGGAGATGTGGTGGTGTAAGCCGACTGGACCCGATGATTGCTCCTCCTCAAAAATACTTTGCTTCAGATGGTCCGAAGCGGAAGAGGAGTATTCAAGACCAGTACAACAAAGATGCACGCTGAAAATCTCCAGCCCACGGGTTCCCAAGAGGCAAGTGCGTCTTGCATCCAGGACTAATAAATAAATGCTTACAGATACTGGTCAATAAATATTCAAAGACATGGAAGGAAAGAGATTAAGATTGGTTGGCCATATTGCCAGACCAATTTATCAGGTAGCTTTTACTCAACAATGACTGCCTCAATGGACTGCAAGATACCATAGGGGAGGCAAAAAACCATATGAATAGATCAAATCAACAAAGATGCTACAGAGCTGCATTCAGAAAACTGTAAAACCAACAAAAAAAAAAAATCTGGTGCACCCTTTTCTTTAGCAGTAGTAGGTATTTTCAAAGAAAGGGAAGTAAAATTAAAAATATCAGATGGTACAAAATATTATTTAAAATAAATAATTATCTTATGTTTCTCACAGCCCTCTAATGTATTATATTTGTTCTTTTTTTTGCCACTAAACATTTCCTTTTACAACAGTATATTTTAATTTTTTATTTGATTATAATAAATAATTAAGCGACATGAAATATTTTTAGTCTCACTGATATATTTCATTGTAGGTAATTTTATTTGTTTAAGCATCGATATATATACAAATTTCAATCATTATATTACTATAATCTATAAAATTGAATATTAAATAATACCAACTGCATTTATGACAACCACATATATATTTGTATATAATGTTATCAGAGCCCATATTTTATTAAGCACCTGCTATGTATGGAAGCTTATTTCAACCTTTTGGCCAAGCTCAGGAGTATTTGGTTCTCAATTACTATGACCCTAAACATTTTTATTTTTTACTCCTTTATATAATTATCAAATTCTTTCATATTTTAGATTTAACCATTTTTTTATATCAGGTTACAGTGTATGATATAAAAGGTTGATTATTTAAAATAAAGCAATTAAAGGTACTTTAGATAAACAAATTTTGAAAATTAGGCATTTACATACTCTATTAGAGAACATCAACAAGAATAACACCTACATTATACTACAACCTACTCAATTTTACACTTATTTAACTAACTGCCCGGTGCTACAGGTCAGCATGACCCTTGAGTTATTTTTCTCCACTTCTCTCTGTCCTGTGCTTCTGTCTTCCAATTGCAAACTCCTAACTTCCTCGCGTCTCTCTCCACTTCATCCTTCCATCTGCTTCTAGGGCTTCCACTTTTCCTCTGAAGTGCTTACCTCTGAAGTGCGCTTCCAATATTTTCTTCTGTAACTGTTCATTCTCCATTCTAATCACATGTCCTGCCCATCTCAGCCTACTTTCCTTGATATAGATAGTAATGTTTTGATTTTCTAATATAGTCTCGATTTGATTCTTACTTATGATTTTCTACTCACCATTAACACTTGTAGGACCGTAAATCCTTCATATTACTTTCCTTTCAAATACTTTTAGTTTACGGCAATCTTCTTACAATAAACATCAGGTTTCCGCTCCATAGGTGACTACTGGTCTAATAAGAGTTTTATACTGCTTTAATTTTGTGGCTTTTGACAACAATGGAGACTTAAGAAGTTTTAGATTTGTATAGTAGGCTCTATTACCAGCCATTATTCTGCTGTTTATTTCTCTGCTAATTACATTTTCATTATTTTGAGCAGAACTGAGATACACAAATTTGAGCATATTTTCTAAACTAAACTTCCTTATTTCGATTTCACAGCAGGATCTTCTACTTGCTGACGATGACAGTTTCAGGTATTTAGTTTTGTTTCATTGATCACAAGCCCTATTTTGTTGCCATTTGCATCTATTATCTCAAATGCCTCTTTAAGTGCCTTTTCACTTTACGTAGCAATCACCAGATCGTCAGCGTAAGCACCAATTTGCCAGGTCTTATCAACGATAGTGCCTTTTTAGCTGCATCATCCTCAGCAGCATGCAGAGCTCCCTCTTCTGGCTTGTTTTCCTCTAACTTCTCTCTATCCATAACATCTTGAAAATTCCTCAGTTCGTTCTCCACTTTTAATTTTTCAGTGTCCCATTTTGTTCGTTTTATTGTTTCTGCTCTTGTCACCTTTGCTTTCCTTTGCCTTAACTTAGCTCTAACCAAAAAGTGGCCTGGATTGCAGTTAGAGCCACCAATACTTCTCACATCTATGATGTTTGATGAATGTCTAGTTGATATCAGGTAAACATTGGGTAAACATAACAGGTAAAATATTGGGTCAAAATTAAGAATTGAGTGTCTCAATTTACTATTCACAAAGATCCTGTTCCTGCTTGACAAGTATCCTAATCCAAACTGTATATTATGGAGATCTCCTTTTTTTTCAATTCTTCCACTTCCACTCTATCTTATTTTTTACAATGCCACAGTTATTTAAGGAATTTAAATAAAATCGTTAGAGCTGTTTTCGAGAAAACTGTAAAACTGTGTAAAATCTCTGAAATAAAGTGGCACTGCCAATTTTTCCAATTTCGACAAAAAAGTTGCTCTTACATCCCTAGCTTTTCCTTAATATATAGAGGTTAGTGAAAGTAAAAAAAATATATATTCAACTATAATTAATAAATTGTACCCATTTATGTTAATGATCTCTTTTGTTTTAGTTTACTTGAAAGTTTTTAATCTTTATTAGACTAAATAAAGGAGAATCATTCTCAAGAGTAGATAAATTCAAATACCTCGGCTTCACAATAAGTTCAATAATAATAATAATAATAATAAACCTCAACGAATAACCAACAGCCAGAAATAGACCAGCGTATAACTAGCGCAAACAGAGCTTTCTTCTCCCTCTCAAAGGTATTGAAATCCTGAAAAATCTCAAACTAAGGGTGTACAATGCTATGATAAAGCTGGTTCTAATATATGTGAGATTTGAACTCTAACCAGCACCCTAGAAAAAAGTGTTGAAAGATTTGAAAGAAAAATCCTCTGCCCAATAACCGGAACAATCTGGGATCAGAGTACTAACACATGGAGAAGAAAGACCAATAAAGAACTGCTTACAGAAACTGGTCAATCAATATCCCATGATATGAAGGCGCGGAGGTTAAGATGGGCAGAGCATGTAGCTCATAGCGATCCATCTGGAAGACTGCATGTAACAATGAATGCCTCAATAGAAGACAAAAGACCACGTGAAAGGCCCAAAAGCAGCTGGATAAATACAATCAACAAAGATGCAATAGAGCTGCGTGAAGATAACTGAAAAGAAATAGCCCAAGACAAGCAGAGATGGAGCAGACTTGTTGAGGCATCAAAAGATCTAGATGGTCTGTAATGCCAAAAAAAAAGCAATTTTAACTTCTCGTCTCCGTTCATGGCAATGCTTGTTAGAAATAATGGTTTGAAACAGATACTTTATTTTCAATGTGACATCAGTGAAATTGCATAATAATGGGTAAATAGACTAATAGTAAAAACACTTCAAAATTTGACTTTATATTTCACTTATCAATATAGGTAGTTGGGAATCTTGTTGATTTTAATGTTCAGATTTTAAAGATGACAGTTATGTTCCCCTAAATGTAAGCATCTAAAAGGAATTTATAATTGCTATATACTTTATTTAAATAAAAATTTAATATATCTGAGGCAATCATTTCACTAACGTTTGAACAAAAGTCAACAAATCCAGTTAATAAATTTTATGAAATAATGATTTCTATCAAATGAACAGGACAACATTCATGGACTAAATGAATTTTCATCATAATTAGAGTCAAATAAGGCAGTGAATGACTTTGTGCTGTTTGCCATATTCATGAAGAAACAGTAGATTATGAAATCAATGATTTATTTTATTAATTGAATCAATATATTTTCTTTCATCATTACATAAATATTTACCTCTTTCCAACATTCTTACAGCTTCTCCAAGTTGAGGTACCAGTAATCTATTAACCACAAAGCCAGGTGTGTCCTTACAAGTTATACAAGTCTTTCCAATGGCTTTGCCCCAATTCATCAGCTTTTGATAGGTCTCCTCAGAAGTTTCATCTATTCTGATTACCTAAAGGCAAAACCTTGAATTATTATCAGACTTTTTAAAAAAATTGTTCATAAAATGAAATACAAACTAACTTCTAACAGTTTCATGACTGGGACTGGATTGAAGAAGTGAAGACCACCAAACCTGTCTTTTCGCTTTGTTACTGAAGCGATTTCACCGATACTTAATGAAGATGTATTAGAAGCAAAAACAGTATGCTCTGGAGCAACCTACATCATAAAAAAGATTATGGTTTATATTTCAATGGTTATTTAAGGTAGTTAATGGTTATCATTAATATTTATTCAATATTAATGAAGCAAAACCATCATGGGTAGTATACCTGTCATAAATAAATGATAAATGTAAAGACATTTAACTCATTATAAACTAATTATTTTTTAAATATCTATTTTCAATAAAACTTATGGAATGGCAATTTTTATTTGATACTTACTGAGTCTATACTTGTGAACAACGTGTGTTTCGCTTTTATATTTTCAATAATTGCTTCAACAACTAAATCAGTAGACTTAACTGTCTTCTGAAGATCCACTGAGTAAGATATATTTGCCAGCGTAGATTTTACAAATTCTTCACCTTTCGCATGATCATCCTATTTTAATTATGTATTCAATGAATAAAATATCATTAATTTTTCCATTCAAGGCATTAAATAATTTAAATTTTTACATAAGTACCTTGTGTAATTTTTTAGCCACTCTTTTTAAACTTGCCACTATACTTTCTTCTGCCTTTTTAATAATATCTTCCTTGACATCAACTAATACAACTTTATTTCCACTCTGCGCTGCCACCTGAGGGACATTAGTTCAATCATAAAGTCATATAGCATTAAAACTAATAATTAATCATCTTAACATAAACTGAATGACCATATTAATTTACCTAGAAATCTTTTAAAGTTAATATAAGTCTGAAAGTGCTTCAGAAAAAAAAAGATTATTAGAATCATAAAATTACATATATTTTTATAATTACAAATATGCAATAAATTACAATATGATAATATGTATGTTATGGATCTTATATATTATATAATTCTGAAACTATTAAAAAACATAGGTAGTTATTTTTCACCTATGGTTGGCTAATTTAGTGAACCAGTTAAGTAAGGTTCTCACATATACAGTAAATATACACGATTTCTTTGAAACATTGCATAATAAATAGAGGATAATAAGCATGGAGTTTATAAAATCAAAGTAAAAAAAAAATTGATAATAATTTTCAATGGTTTATTGCTAGAAATAAAATATTAATTTACCTGAGCGATTCCAGAACCCATTAGGCCTCCTCCAACTATCGTCACATGATTTATAGCAGATCTCATTGGTGAACTCGTAGCCATTCCTCTGCTAATCACTTTGAAAACTTGTGCCATTTTGTACTAAAACCTAAAACATTAATTTTAATTAAGTATTGCTTCAAATTAATTACATGTTACTAATGATAATTTTGTGTCAAATGAAGTTATATTTTAAAATATTTACTGTCAGTTATATATTGCTTATTCTAACATAAACAATTTGATCAACTAAACCTTACTACAGTGGGATCTTAAATAATTTCTTTAAAAAGTGGCATTCAGATAAGGCTTATCAAAAGACAACTCAATCAAACAATTATCGTTATGTAACCACTAGTGATCTTTGTACTTTCTATTCCACCACATCTTTATTTTATATATATAATCTGTACCACTACAACTCATGAAGGGTCTTGGGTGCAGTACTATGTGAGGAAGTACTGTTTCAAGGCCAACGGTTGTGCAGGAAGGTGATGGGGCCGATATGATACATATATCTATATATATATTTGTTATATTAAAAAGTTTTAGTGAGTTTCATATTTCATTTTATTTTAGTATTAGGAGAGTAGAAGTTCAACTTTTCTACCCCTATTCTAGGCTCGATGGTGCTCTTGCAATGTCGATATTTACAAATAACAGCGTTCATTAACAATGGTTGACCAAACTTAATAAAACATAAGGATAAAAAAACTGTGTTTTTTTGGTGACCTTTGGCCTAAAATAGACATATGATAAATTATGAGAAAATGGCACCAAACCCGAAGGATGTGACAAGAAAAGCAGAATATAATGTTTATATTAGAAAATAAAACCACACACAAATGAAAATACAATAAAGCTAAATAGTAGACAATAAAAAATATTCTTGAAGAGAGAGGAAGGGAGAAGGATGAGTAAAAGAAAGTTTTACTTATATAAAAAGAGTTTTGGTGTCTTGGCAGATGGGGGAAGAAAAGAGACTGACTACATTGGATAAGGGTGAGAATTGTAACAATGAGATTCTAGCCATTCTATGTTCTACATTTTGAATTTTCATTTTACTTTTTGATTCCAAACCCACATGGAGTTCCTCAGTTATTTGATCAGCAATTTAGATTCTTGACATCAGAAATAGATGTAACCTAGCCGATACGGTAAAAATATTATTTTATTATGGGTTTGTTTAGTATACATCTTATGAAATAATTACCAAATTCCATCCAATATTTTCACATAGGCATACTCAAACCTATTTAGCTTGATTTCAAGTTGAATTTATATTGTTCCGCTAAACTGTAGTGTGTGATGGAATACCCCTGTGTAAGACTGAGATTATAAGAAACAGGAGAAAAATAATGAAAAAGTTACTTTAATAATTTATCAATTCGTCTCAGAGGAATGGCTGTTGCCAAAAAACTTAAGTTAATTGCAAATCTGGCATCCTTTCCGACTGACGCCAAAAAATAATCTACGATTGATATAAATTTTTTCTAATTTTAAATAAAAATTTCATAATTTTGATATTAAAAACTATGAGTGATCTGTGCCAAAACTTAAACAATCAAAATATATACTTTAAATAAAAAAAATATTTCAGAAACGACACACGTCAATTTTATGCTTTTAATTAAAGATAAATGCTGGTACATTAGTCACAGACTTATCTTTTAGTACAAAAAAAAAAACACATTCCATGAATAAAGAATAGATTGATTCTACAAACCATTTTTATAGACCATTATTTGTTTTAATCATAGTTAAAAATATTTTTTATAAAAAATCGGGAAAACACGAGTCGTTTCGATAATAGCGATCAATTCAGAAATTTTCAACTCCACGTTATTAAAACATTTTAAATCCTTACAATCGTCTAAAATTTATATTATATGTAAATAATTTTAATTTAATTAAAGAATGAGGATTAAATAATTAAAACAACTAAATTAAAATATGATAATTAACCACTTTTCGCTGATAGTAAATCACCTCTAAAATTCATTTTTATTGAAGTATATATATTTTTTGTGTAAGTATAACCAATTTATTTAGATACATTTATTTTAAAGTAGATGCGAGTGAGATAAGCGGAAAGAGCAATACTAGCAAAAATTATTCTCTTAAAAAATTATTTGCCTTACTCTCATACTAAAACAAATATCAGTTTTGATTAACTCGAGTTATTTTTATATGACAAATTGTACTTTGACTGCTACTATCTCCATACCATCATATAGATTTTTTTTCCCCTCTGCATTCTTTATAAAACTGATTTGACCTCTAAAGTTTAATCGATGAGAAGTGAGTTGTTTCGGAGAACGGACGCTTTGAAAGATAAGACCAGCAACGGTAGAAATTTTAAAAATATTATCTAGGGCTCAGGATCTTGAAATGTGAAAATTAACGAAAAAAATATGTTTACTCATTATATAACTTTCAGGAAAGAACAATATATTTTTAAAATAGTTTAATTAAATTTAGAAACATATTTTTCCCACAAAAATTGACTGATCGTTCAATTTAAAAAATTCCCCTCTTGTATACCGCTTAAAGTACCCTTCTTCTAAATAAGCCACCAGGGATTAACCATTGTCATGTGTTAACAGTCACATTTATGTGTTACAGCTTTTTACTACAACAAACTTCAGTAAATAAATAAACATTGTATGCTTAAAATTTTATTACTAAATTTTCTCTGGATAGCTTACCTAAGTTTCGCCTACAAATTCATTGTTTCGATTCAAGTGAAACTGGGAAGAAACCTTCTCAGATAACATTTCGTGGAAGAATGACAGATAGAACTGTTCACTTTTATAGCATTTCACCGAACCATTTAAGGTGGCTATATTGAAGTGGGGGAATATAGACGTTTTTAAGTGACTGAATAATTTATTTACTTCACATTTAGCACTCTCACGCTAACTTTCCCGTGACCTCGATAAGGTTTAACCAGGCATTAAGCCCGCAAGCAAAGCAAATAAGCGCTGATTTAATACATTTTTATATTATGTATTCTTACAGCCATCTGAATTCAAGCACGCAATATTTCCTCCCTCCCCTTCTTGGAAGGTGATAAAACATTTTATCATTAAAAAAATAACTAAACGACCGGCACTTTTATTATAATTATTTTAATTGAAAAGTGAATGGTATTAATAAAATATTTTCAAGTTAATTTATTATTAGCCATATTTACACCAATTTAGGTACATAATAAGTATCTTTATAATTTGAAATATGTTAAAATTTAATATATGATTGTAAATGAAAAAAATTTTTTAGACTTGAAAATGGCTCGACGAGCCGAAACGTCGTCATTTTGATGAGTAGTCATTAAGTGACAACAAATTTTTTTTTAAATTGGTGTAAATATGGCTAATAATAAATTAACTTGAAAATAATAGTATGCACCGAAGAAGAATTGAGTAATATTGTGAATTAATAAAATATTTTTTATTTATCTTTTTTCCTAAAATAAACGAATAATTTACACTAAAAATTATTCATTTGTTGGCGAAATATCGTATTCTAAATATTGTACCTGAAAGTGCCTTAATTTCTTGAAACCATTTTTATTGAATTTGTGGGAAAATATATGGATAACTGTCTTGTTTTAAGTTCATAGACGTCAATTATTCAGTCTAGGAATTTTGATCGCCAAGGAATTTTATGGCAAACTACTAGACTAAATAGAAAAACTATAATACAAATTTCTTTTCATATATATATTCCTCTTTGGTGTATAGAATTCACTTGTTTTATTAGTCCTCCCTCTCCTCTCCATCAGAACATTTCTGCATCCGCCGCTGTAGTAGACGACTTTTAACATAATATCGTTAGGCATTAAGCCCGCAAGCAAAAATGCAACTATTTTTAGGTTCCCTGGTATATTTCAAAATTCTGGAAGTTTTTGAAATTTTGATAAAAATAAAAATTTAGGCGTAAGGAATTGAACAATAGAACTTAACTAATACAAAGCTTTACAAGCGACGTGAATTTATACATGGTCACAAGAAATAACTTGATAAGTCAAAAAAGTGTTTTCATGAGTTATTTGAATTTTGATAATTTTCCACAACTATTTTTGGTAACTCCACTGCTCTAGTCCACACCTCCAAAATACTTCGAGTAGTGAATTTCTTCACTACGTTCAGAAGGTTTCTGAGATGTTCACAATAGCCATAACTTATGACGATAATGTATACACTTATAAAGTTATTCCCTGCGAAAATACATATACGGTAGACAATACTCTTAATTTATATTTTAAATAAATTGGCATGGGCCCCTTCTTTCCACTTCTAAATCCCCAAAATTGAAGGATGGAATTTAAAAAAATAAATAAATTAAATTATTTCTTGTTTATAACATTTATCGAAAACGAATAACCCAACGATATTTTTATTTTAAATTAAAGAGATATTAACATTTGATTTTATAATCGGGTCGAATCGTTCCGAATTCTAAGATAATATTTTCAGGAAATCTAGCTAAGACTATTCTATATGAACATATAAATATTCGTGTTATTAATCTATAATGTCATTTAACTTTTAATTTTTGTGTAAATTTAGGTTAAATGTTCCTATAATGAAGTTTCAAATTTTTTATACTTCGGAAATATGATTGTATTAGTAAATAATATTTTATTACTAATTTTTAATAATAGATCTTTTTTAGTTATAAAAATTGTTCTGTAGTATCTATACTTTGGATAATAAAGCATTTCAATAATCAATAAGACCATTGATTATTGAAATATAAAAAATTGTGCACATGTTTCCTTGTAAAATATTCAAATGAGTAATATGGACTTCGTAAGATGTGATTTTTTAAATAAATATATATATATATATATATATATATATATATATATATATATATATATATATTATAATGTTTTATAATTCACTTCTTGAAGTGAAAAAAAGGAATTTTAGAAGTGATAGGACAAACTTTAAAAATGCTTGTGAGTGGAAAATGTGGAGTTGAAAACAGAAATGAGTGAAAAGTAATTGGTTTAACTTATCATTTTCGTTGTATTTATTGAACCATAAAAGAATATGGAAATAAATTAAAAACACCGAAGTAAGAATTTTAAAAGGAAAACTGATTTTAAATAATGTATTTGTTTATGAAAGTAATCTTAAAAATGGTGAAACCAAAAAAAAAAAAAAACACCTTAATTAACTGATGCATGACAATGACAATGGATATTTAATTTATTTTATCCACGAGTTTTTCAGATATTTCGAAATAAATGAATGAATTGGATATATGAAGACAATGGATCTACAAGGCAATGGTTAACTCATCGAGAAGGAGAAG